GAAAAAAAAATCTGCCTCGTCAGTCATGTACCGAAAGATACATGATCGCTTAAGCATGTATCACTCATAGCACATTGTGTGTTGGTTTTCAGTCCTGCTGTTCTCTCCGGGTTTGAACTAGCTCCTGTAATCCACAAGCTTGATAACCCACTTACCAAAGGTAAAATAGCTATCTCTCTCAAATTGATGACTAACAGGGAAGCCCCTGGGCATCATGACATCGTTGTTGAATTGATAGGTAGAAGAGAAGTATTGAACTTGATTCATATTTGTCATTGGGTGTGGGAGAAAGGCAAAATTCATGAGTGGAGATGCCATCTTCATGTTCTTGAATATGGACCCAAAAACACATGCAATAGCTACTGTGTTTTATTGATCTTATTTGAGACCATCAACAGGCCAAATATTTGGGGATTCTTATTAAAGCTGGGCTATCCTAAAAAATGAATGAGTTTTATTTGATCCCTTCACCACAATATGAAGGCATAGTATGTATCAGTTTGGAACTGCTAGATCTCTTTTTAATTGAATATGGGGTGAAAAAGGTTATCTCCTGGGTCTTACTATTCTTTGCAAGTGTTTTCTGGCAATGATGCTGCCATATGTGTCTGGCATTGCACAGCTGGAAAGCTTTTTTAGACCTTTGTCTTTGATTTGTGACTTATATGCTGATTTTTACTTGTCACTCACACTGAGGAGGCTCTTCAGCTCATAATAGACTGCTCTTCAGTCTTACAACCAGCCTCAGACTCCTAATGTATCAACTTGATAAGGCATATATTCTGCCATTCATAATGTTGAGAGATGGTGGATACATTTGTCTACCTAGGTAGCATCTTATGTAGATCCAACATCCTTGATTTTGTTATAGACTTTCTAAAACTTGTGATGCATATGGAAAATATGAGTAAAGCCTTTAGTTGCAATCTGGCATGAAGTTACCAACAAAAGTAGATCAAAAAGACACATGCATTGTATGAATGTAGGATTTGGATGACTTACCCAGCACTTTACTGCTTCCATCAGAGTTGCTTGCATTTTCTGCTGGAAATTTCATGGTGATCTGTGCCTGATATTTGAGTACTGCAGCTAGCCAATATAACGAGTATAGTCCATGATTATGAAACTTAGACTTGGAAAATGTGGTCACTTGGTTCACTTAGAGGACACCCGCATGCCACAGACACACTCTCTATAGTGAACTGGTATAGAGCAAACACCATCATTGCAAGCTGCAAAAAAGATAATGGATCCCTAAAAAGGCACACTTGAAAAGTTCAATATCACTACGAGCATATGGGAAGATCTTGCATCAGGTAGGGTGGAATGGAGGAAACCCGATTGCTACTGGTGCTATAGAATTTGAAAATAACTGAATCACATATGCTGCATTGAAACAAAATGGTAAATATAGAGGAAGATGTTAGCCCTCTTCCTAAGAAGGAAACAAAATCTCTTTCATGTGATGAATGTGGTTGTATTTGCTTTTCAAAGGCAGGCCTTATTAGCCACGAATGACGACATCATGAAAATACCACTTCTCCCAATATGGCATCCAACTTGCAGCCTCAATAACAAAGTGTGTATGTCAGCCAGTGGACTCACTTGGCATTATAGATATCAGTATGTAGAAAGTCAAGTTGCTGTAGCAAAACTGACATGCAATAAGTGTGCTGTGACCTGCAAGTCCTTTCCAGGCATAATGAGTCACATGAAATGTTATCAGCAACAAAATATTAAAACATAAGCATATTCTTCATTGTTGATTGAGTCTAGGAAATGGTTGTACTTGGTCATGAGTTGACTTCCATCTACACACACGCGCGCTTCTTGGTATGGAAATCTGTCCTTCAAATGGAATATAATTTTAATACTATATGAATGTTTTTAAACATGGTGTAGGTAAATTTCTATTTATACATTTAAATTGTAAATAAATCTCTATACTGGTCACCTGGTTGGTGATAAATTGGTCTAATAAACTTTTGCATAAAAAAAAAAAAAAAAAAAATTAGGGTTGTGTGTGTTTATATATATATATATATATATATATATATATATATATATATATATATATATATATATATATATTACAAAGCGGCCCTTTAAGTAAACACAATTTTATTTTCCTTCGTCCCATCTCTCTCCCCACCTCTTCTCTTTCTTTTTTCCCCCCTACCTCCTATCCTAACTTCTAATTGTCTGTGATGTATGTATGTCACCACGAAATGTATCTTTATGCATTAGACATCTGTCGACTTTCTTTCTCGCCTCTTTTTAAATTCCCCCACCCCACCCACATCTCCTAAAATTCTCTCTGTTAAGGTTTCATGTCCCTCCTCCTCATACTTACTCTTTCTCTAAATTCATTTTTGATTTCCGGAGTTGTTTTTTCTGTTTTCATTTTGAATTTGTAGGTCTGATGATTTGGATCGTATTTACGATTCCAATGGAATAAATTATGACCATGGAATATTAGTGTTTAAGCCTTTTTATTATATCCTTACTCTGTCCTAGACATTGAGTTCTACCTGGATCCTTCCTCTTGGAAAATTTTTTTTCTGAAAATATACATGTATGGGAATTTTTAGATATATTTTCATATGTATGTATATTTTATATAATATATATATATATATATATATATATATATATATATATATATATATATATATATATATATATAATCTCATACAACCTTATCCAGAAATTACAAGATCACTGAAAATGATCAATTTCTTGTTGAATTCAATGTTTCATGTTCAGAATATAATGTATGTGAACTATACATATACTTTAAAAGTCTTTTATTGCATTAATAATAGTCCATTTCGTAATTAAAACTCATTTTTTAGTCTCTCATAACTATAAAAAAAAATCACTTAAATTTGATGTTTTTCTGTTACAAAAAATGCTGAAGAGCTTCCTAGAAGATTCTCTAAAAATGTTGAAAAATCTGTTTTTAGACAAAATTTCAATAAAGACTTAATAAGTTCATTATTTTTATAATTTCAAGACTGCACATGTGTATATGTACACACACACACACACACACACACATCTTTATTTTATTTTTCATCAGAAGAGAAAGTATTCTTGAAGCAGAACTGGGTTATGATGATGCTCCATGATCTTTCCAGATACTGCAAAGCCTTCTATGTAACTGAAAAATTTGTCAATCAGTTTGAACTGCAATTTTTTTTTTAGAAACCTGAGCAGACTAAACAGGTTGTAATTGATGCTAGAGAGAATTCATCAAAATGTTTTTGAAAATTGCCCAAACAATAAGCCAAATACATGAAGTATTAATCTTCTGTTCACAACACTGCAAAAGCAAGATGTTGGTGGACAGAGATGATTCTTAAAGAGCACTTGATTTGCAGAATGCAATCTGGATATACAAAAAATGCTTAAATATTGATGATTTTGGTTACTGCATTTTTTCTTTTAATGATTCCCTACTATATGCTCGTAGGTTTGGTAGGAGTTATGGTCTGGGGTAGCTATGGTTTATGCTGTTTAGTTAATGTCAACAGAACTTTGACAGCTTGATGTCAAAGATACCAGTGGAAGAGAGAGGAATAAAATTGATCTTTCAGTAAGACTATGAAAGTTGTCATTCTGTAAAGACAAATATTACTGATTTTAGTGATCATTTTCCATCTATAATGAAGTAGCCTTCCTTGTCTTAATGCTCTCAGTCCCATAGAAAATGTTAGAGAAATGATGGTAAGATATGCACACACTGTAACACCCAATATTTCATTCTTTTGTTGAAGCAGGCTATCATGAATACATGGGAGAAAATATATCAAATTATGTTCTCTCATTGTACCATTCAGGTTTTGAAAGTAAAAGGTGCAGCCATAAAGTGTTAAATTTTGTTAATAATAACTATTGATTTTATAATTTTATTTTTTGTTTTTTTGATTGAGACATGAAATTTAAAATTTTTAAATTAAAAAAAAAAAAAAATTTTTTTCCTAAAATGAATAATAAATATTAGAATTTACAACCATGCAGAAAATACTTACCCCCCCAGTACCAAACATTTTTTATAAAAATCTGGATACTTTTAGACAAATTTCACTACATATTTAAAACTTTTTCATCATTTCTGGACAGTATATTTTTATTTTATCTATTTTATACCAATATTTTTTTTTCTCTGTTTACTGCTGCATCAAGGCCATCACTAAATCTGTCAAACATTGGAGGTAACGGCCCTTATGCTTTACTAGTTCCTGTTGGCAGGCTGCTGTCCTAAGACTAAAGAGCCTGCTCTGTCCTGTTATTTAACCCATAGATAGTGGGGAGAGAAATTGATTCATGTCTTTTTAAGATTCAAACAAGAGAAATTAGTTCAAATGTGTCTACTGTTGGATGTCAGTGATTGTTCACAATTAAGTATTTTATTATGCTCAGTTTGATTCCTAACTCTCATAAAATATGAAAGCTACTTAGAGTTCTTTTATTAACAAATATCATCTATAACCTCTGAATTTAATCAATTTTAGATGTTGGTTTGTTAATATTTAGTCCGAATAACTATGTAATATACACAGAAGCTTAAAATTCATATAACAAAGCGAGTTATGAAAACTAGAGTAAAAGAGATGTAATTTTTTTTTTTGTTAAATGATATGTGGATAGATTAATGGCTATCAGCAAGCCAAGTTCATATTGTGGCTAAGTCTGTTGCATGCTCTTTGCAAAAGGAATAAATCCATCTCTTCTCTCTTAGTTATGGGTTAAATTACTTTTGTCTTAGAGAGCAGCAAGTTTAACAATAAAAATGTTTAAATTCAAATTAACTGGATGTACTGACATTGATTATACAGCAGTGACCTTTTAGCTTCTCATGAGGGAATCTCTATTGGGGACATGCTTTACAGCTCTACCTAAATTTTTATTGTATACAGTGATTTTATTTTTAAGCACCTGAAATTTTAATAAAATATCAAATATGTTGTTATTTTTTATTTTTATTTTTTTCCAGCATGTCTGTGGAATTTGATAAATGGGACCCCCAGAAAGAAGATTTCCAAGATAAAGAATTCAACAGCTATGATTATGGCCCGGGAAAATATCTTGGCGGTAATAATTACAAGTATGCTAAGTGTTACTCTTTTCATTGATTATATTGTAAATGTCCATCTCTGTGTGCGTGCATGCAAGTGAATTAAGCATTTAGAGGATAAGAATTTAGTGAATGAATTAATCTCTCCAAGCTCATTGTGAAGGGAACTTTTTTTTTTTTTTTTTAATATTTATTCCAACATTTATAGATATGTAGGGAAGATCATTTAGTACTAGAGAATTTAGACTTCTCCCAAATTTTTGTTATTTTTAGCTAATAGCATATTATTTATTAATCTTTACTCGTCATGAGGCACCTCCTGTTGAGGCTCAAACTCATTATTTGGAAATGACAAGAGCAGGTTGCTAACCAAATGTCAGGACAAGACACCCTAGCTAAGATAAATTCTCTGAACAGTTGTAATGTTGAGGAACTCAGATTGATTTTATTTTGATGGATCTTGAAATAGTTCTGCTCTCCATCTTGAATCTTGCTAATTTCTCACCTCCATCAGACATTGATATTATTACATGACACTTTATGAATTTTATTGAATTACTACATTTACTTTTTAATGTGCTTAGATTATGTTATGAAAATTTGGCCAAACAATGGCATAAAACTCCAATTTACTGCTTGTTCTCAGATATAACAATAACCCTATATGTTTTCAATAGAATGAATAGTCATTTTGTTTTAAATTTTTGAGGGGGAAGTTATATAGTTTATTACAAAAACTATAAAATGTCATTGAAAAAAATTATTTCCTTTCAGATAGCAAATATTTAAGTTTATTGCTGAAATATTGTGAAAAAATTATCCCCATGATTCTCAGTGAGGATTGAATTTGAGTTTCAAAGGCCCACACATTTGGTTTCTTTTTTTTTTTCTCCTATAAATATTGCGTTTCTTTTATCTCTTTTGAAAAAAACAAACTTTTCTTTGCTAATTTTTGACATTTTTCTCCTTCACAGAAATAAAAATACAGTTCGATTACATGTTAGTAATATACCACCACACATAAATGAGGTAAGTAAATATTAGAGTTTTAAAATGTCTGCATTTATAAATAGATTTCTAGAAAATGTTAAAATGATATTTTTTTTCCTTTGTAGGATGGCCTTAGAGCATTGTTTGTAAAAACTGGTACTGTAACAGACGTCTGGAAACACAGGACTTTTGGTTTTGCGTAAGTAAGCCTACTATTAATGGCTTTGAACTTTAAAGGTTTAGAAAATGCTGGTAAACTTCTATCTTTTTGTAATTAGAAACTACCTCAATAATATTTTAGTTTAGAATGTATTTAGGAAGTTCTCATATATATATATGTGAGAGAGAGGGTTTCATATTGGAAAAAGATTATTGTAAAAAAAAAATATATGGTGTTTTTTGTTTAAAAGAATTACAAAGCCAATTTAGATATTTATACATATATTTATTCAACCACATTGGTAGCATTTTGTTTCACTTTCACCCTATTTTTAAGCATCTTCATGATTCCATCTTCCTAAATCTTGGCATCTTTCTGGGTGATGAAATGGTTTAATTGCTTTCTCCAGTTTTCCAAAGAATTGAAGAAACCTCCTTTTTAAGAGAATTTTGTAAGGCATCAAATAAATGCTACTCTGAAGGTTCAAGGTTAGGTGAGTAAAGCAGGTATAGTCGAACATCTCAGCCAAGCTGTATCAATTCCCATCAGGTCTGCAAAGAGTGGCGAGGTTCGACATTGTTCTGATAGGAAATGACAGATGCGCTTCTGATTTTCCTTTCCAGCTGGCCAATTCCAAATACTTTTCATCAATTGCTGCCTTTTAATTTCTTCAATTGGGAATAGTCCTTGTCTGAATTCAACATCTGATAATGCTCATGAAATATGTGGAGTATCTCCATGTTGTGTGATCTGGATTATTTTTAATCAACATTTGGATTTGGGCATCATTAATGAATGACAGCCAACTGGGACATTCTCTGTCTTTTCTCTTGGCACCATCTCTTTTGTTCCCTTTCAGAGTTGCTTCAGAGAGCTTGGCTTCTGAATCTTTGAGAGGTTGCATGATCATTTCAGAGAATTGCTGCACATGTTGGACATTACACTGGATCCTTTTTCATATGGGCATTCCTACATGTGTAAACAAGGTTCTGGATAGCCACATTGTAAAAGATGCTCACCAAGGTTGAGGCATTGTGTTAGGGAAGCAATGGTATCCACATGAATCAGAAAGTGTGGGCCCCAGGAATGTCAACACAGACTTGGGAATTGTTTATGACAGGCATATGTACCTCAGGCCAGATGCCTGCTTGTACCACAAAAATTCATCCCTAGAATCATAGCTCCTTAGCACTCAGTGATGTCCTGTCTTCATGCAAATGACTGTTTGCAAGTACTATGTAAACCTGGGGAGGAACATCTTCCAGAGTATATATGTCAATGATACATAGGCCCAACCCTTTGGCATTATAGTGTGAGGCACCATAAGTTGAAACTCATCTTTGATATTTGTTGAACGTTCCCTATACTTCCAGAATATTGTTCAACCTATTCTGTTGCCATTTCTGCTACAACAAAGTGATATGCTGTTTCTGCAAGGTGATACTCTCCAATTTCTTTGACAACTTTTTGGTGTTGGCATGATCATCCAGACCTGTCCCCTGTTGAAAATGATGGGATACTAGATTCGTTCAGTTAACCCTACAACTCTTGCTGTATTGCATCAACAAAATAATGCTTTTACAGGATGGTGTTCACCATCAATAAAATCATATGCATGTAAAATTAGAGGCCTGTGTTTATGCCCAAAGGGGGGATATACATTGTTTTAATACAGGGTCTGAATACTGTTGATCCACTTTTTTATTGGGACCTGTATATGTATTGATCTACATATATGATCATTTATTATAAGTTAGCCGTATTATCTACACTTTAGTCATGTATAATTTGAAACCCATTTGGGGTGCTGTGATTTTATTTTCTGTTAGGGTATATTTTTATTTTTTTTTAATAATTCAGGATTATGTTCATTGTTAAACAGCTACTTTAGAATGATTTTCTTTTTCTTTCAGTTTTGTAACAATGGCATCATTACGAGATGCTGAGTGTGCAATCAGAAAGCTGAATGATTTTCAGATTGAAAAGTACAAGATTGCTGTCAAAGTAGCCAAAAAAGATAAGGGAAATGCTGGTCCAATGCAGCAGAAAAAGGTGAGGACATATCTATTTAATCTGGTTAATGTATTTACCACAACCATTATGTATTGTTGGCTTGGAGTGAACAGCAGTCTGTGTTGATGAACTGAACAAATAGGTTAACTGGTGTTTTAATTTTTTTTATTAAATTGAAATTTACTTTTATTTTTTTTATTTTTTTCCTGCTTGTAAAATTTTTCCAAGACAAAGCTTAGACAGAAATATCTTTTGCCTTTGCTGCTTAATGAGTTAAAATATGAACTATACAAAATTTAGTTTTCTTATACTTAAATTATTTTTTTTTCATCTGTGTAAAAATTCATAGCTTGACATATAGAATGTCAAGGTAATATGTATTTTAGAAAAATTTACATTTGATAAGAATAATGTAATAAATCTTGAAAAATATATTTTGCACAATACCTTATACTTCAAGCCAACGAGTCTCATCTTTTCAGATTGTTGTTTATTTTTAGATGTTGTTATACCCAAATTTTATTTTAAGTTTCTAGTCAAGTGTTTCGTCTTTAAAAATACTTTGTGAAAATGCTTATTTTCATAGTTTTGAATTACGTTGTAGTCTTTGAGGTACACCAAGTATTATTTATGTATATACTTTTGAAACTGCTGGTCTGATTGTGATTCATTTCATCAACTCTGACACAAATTATTTTTGCTATTGATTCTGGTTTCTGGATGTATATAAACATGCAGACTCAGGTCTGACTTGTGACACAGAATAATCCAGAACTGATACTGTATTTTTGCTGTATATGGATAGCATTAAATATACATCAGGTAGGGACTTCAAAAGGTGATTCTGAGAGACAATGTATCATTGTTGATAGCACAAAAAAAACAGCCCAGGAGGTAGTAAAGGAAAGGAGAAGAAAGATATGAACAATGTATCGTTGTTAGCAAAAAGAGCCCAAGATATGAACTACAACTTGGGGACTACACTCAAGCAAATACAAAAATTTAAATATCAAAAAAGTGTTTTAACAAATAATGGAAAATATAACATCTAAACTTGACGGTGCATTGGAATAGCAAAGTATTAAGAAACAGGAACATTTTGTTAAAAACAAAAACTGTACTGGCTTGTGACGACCATGCGCATAACTATCACTTCCTTGCTTGTTGTACTGGTTTCTACAATAAGCCTGTTACTATTTATCCACCATGTTTGTCCATTCTATATTCCTATTAGCATGGAATATAACAGGTTTTCCTGTTGACACTGTTATTCTATACAACAGATTCTCTCAGCAATATTTATGAAATAAAAACAGGAATCAAGTACATTGAGATTTATTATTTTATAAAGACTTACCATGTTATAGAGAAATATGAAAAAGTTTTCATTCATAATTTTATAAAAATTATCTATGAATTATAAAACAAAATTTAAATAAACTTGATTTTTCTGGGCATTATACATTTTCCTCTCAAATTATTTTCTCAGATTACTTTTTGTTTTAATTTTCTAATTTGTTTTTATAATCATTATGTGTGATCAAGGATGCCTTATCAATAGAAATCCAAGGTCTTGAAAAATAATAGTGTTTAATGTTTTTGCAAGTTCTCAAGAATAAAGAATATATCTCATTTTCATATGTTTGTGTTTTATCAAAATTCAAATCACTTAATACAAACATTGCCAAGGGAGTGAAGCAAATTTAAAGTAATAGCAGTTTCAATGTAAAAACTTGTTTGACATGCTGTTTTTTATACTTTGCCACTTTTTTTTTTTTTTCTTTTTCATTGGTCACAATTTGTAGAAAATATTTTGTACAGACCATTTTTCCCCCACCTCCTTTCATCAATCAAATTCTTTTTTTTTTTTTATGCTCAATCAAAATTTATTGTTCATAATGTAAGAATGTCTCCTGATATTATTTAGGTGGTTTTGTCTGAACTGATTTATTCCCCAGCTTTTTCTGTAACTGATGATCTTATATATTGAATTTTACTTGTTTAAGTGGGAGGAAGAAATTTTCAAAACACTTGACAGTGCCAATAGCTTTTGCAAAGATAAAGATGAAGACTGGAATAACGATGATTATTGTGTAAGAATGTTTGTTTTTAGTAATTTGTGTTAATTTAAAAGAAATTTTTAATGTGGAGTCTACAAAAAAGGCTCATCTTTCCTATTCTCTTTTAAAACTAACAGCATGCAAAATATTCTAACTTTATATTCAATCAATTTCTCTAAATTAACACAATAACATATGAAGATGTTGACTTATCTTCTAAAAATTAACAAAATACTAATATTAATATTTCCCTTTTTATACATTTTTTTTTTAATTTTATTTTAATCTTTTTCATTGTATTTTATTAATATTAAAAAAATTAAACTGATAACTTTAAATATTTCTAATTACATTTTAAATTTTTATGGACCCCAAAGTGAATCTTATGCAGTTTTTATATATATATATATATATCTCCAGTTACATTTTTTTGAAAAGACAATGGAAGTAAATTTTCGATGTTGCTTTTTGAAAATATTGCCAGCAACTAATATATACGTGAAATGATTACCCATTAAAAGTGTGCACTTCCACTAATTTGCTGAAAAAAAAAATTGTACCACGATGAAAAAGTGCCTCAAACTTGATTAAAAAAGTTAGTTTTATTGTCAAAATCTTTATTATTATTAAGAGGAAAGACAAAAGTATTGTTTAGATGAGCTCTTTGATATGGTACCTAGATTGTATGAATTTAAGTGCAATACTGGACTGGTGTCAAGATTTGCATAAATTAGTTAAGCTAGCTAGATGTTGGCATAACTTCTATGCTAACAGTTTTTCTTGCATTTCTTGTTTGTGAACTCCCTTTTGGCTCCATGCTTTCCAACCAAATTTAATCTGCCAAAATTTAAATTCAATGTCAATCATTATCTACTGTCCTCCTGATTGCTCTTTTCTCTTTCTACACATTTACTAATGTTTCTGTTCCTAATTCCTTGACACCCTGTAACCCCTTGCACATTAGTTGCTGTACTGTCTTGCACAGGGTGATGCTCATTGTAAAAGGTAAAACAAAAAAGAAAAAAAAAAACTAAGTTTTAAAACTTCTAAAATTTTGTATTACTTTTACCCTTTTAGATGATACTATTAAGTAAAAACTATATTTACTAATGATAAATTGAAAATCTTGGTGCAATTCATCAAACACTGATATTTTTAAAAGAATTTTAAATTTTTTCTATGTGTGTAAACGTGCCGATTTTTTTTTTTTTTTTTTGTAGATACAGATATTCATACATGACACTATCAGAAAAGTAAATTTAAAGTCAAAGTATCTACAATTCAATAAAACATTAGATTATGGAGAATATTTTCCTAAATTTTTGAGATTTACTGAGGACTTAAAAATTATATAAAAAAAAAAAAGGTGCTCATGTTAAATTCTACAATTATATTTTACAAATAAATAGCCCCCTTCCTAGGAAAACAGATAAACATCCATCTGTCATCAAGCTGTCAATATTTTAAATAAACAGCTACCACTGTGTTAAAAAATGCATTCATACAATATTTTAAACTAAGTAATGTTAATGCACTCTGTCAGCAATACAAATTTTGATGCATTGGGCCCAGCTATTTTGCACAAAATGAATGCAGCGTACCCTCTTTTTATTCATGCCCACCTTGAGTTGTACAAGTTCAGATGTATGAAACAATTGATTATTAAAGATAACACATTGATCTATAAGGTGGTATAATTTTCGTTTTAAGAGTTGAATTTGTCCAGCATTTCATTCACTAAAATTTTCAACTTAGAAGTTTTTTGTGAAAGATAACTTTACAGTTAGTAAATTGACAAGCACTTTTTTCTCTCTATAAGATGGGACTATTTTGATATGTGTAGGGAGACAACTCTGATTATAACAAGTTTTTAAAAAAACTATGAAATTGTCAACTTAAAAAATGCTGTCTATCATTGATATAGTGACATAATTTAAAGAAACCAATCATTATGCATGAGATAGAATTATATCTTTAGAAAGAGAAAAGATTAGATGTTGTTTACATAGTAATTTTTATCAAAACAGCCTACAAAATGAAGATATCAGCAGTTGAAATAGAAGGGTAGGTGCTTGGTATTGTGTAGGACCCCTCCCCTGACCCCTAGCTCAGTGAAATACAGTATCTCTATTTGGCATCAATTCTACAAGTGGTCAGTAGACCTCTGAAGAGATGGTGAGTCATAGTGTCTTAGTAGCTGTCTACAGCTCCCTGATTTTTGTAGGTGCAGCATATTGTGTGGGTAAATTGACCTAAATGCTCAATTGGGATGATGTTTAGTGAATGTTATGGTTACATTTGTTGAAATTTCCCAGAAAACTTAAAAACCAATTTTGGGCAACTTTGGTCATCATTGTTGGGGTACATGCAGCAGTTCATGAATGGGTGCAAATATTCACAAAGTTGTACAATATAGTAGTTACTGCATATTACCTTGTTCACAACTGGGGTCTATGGTTTCCTAGAATTTATGCCACACTGGATCTCTTGTATCAACCTGAAATAACTTGAACTCTGACTCATTGGACCACATCACACATTGCCAGTCTTCCACTTTGTGATGGCATCAGCACAGGGGTTAACAGGGCCACTGTGGTGAGTCTTCTGCTCTCATATACCATGGAAACTAAAGAACACTGATCTGCTGTCACCATCTGTTTTGAATGTGGTGTGATTTAATCCAGTGTTATTTGTCTGTTACTGCAGACAATTCTGATGCCATAACATAATGCCATAGATTGAGGAATGGCAAATGTTCTTACAATTTCAGGAATTGTATGTCCTATTTATCTGGCACTCACTATCATTTCCTGTTCAACTCTGGAAATTCACGTCTGGTCCTGAGCAGTATGGCTGGTGTTCACACCGATTCATTAGTTGTCAGATGAAATTGATAGAGGTCTGAGCATTTCTTTGTCATCAAGCTATGATTGTACCACCTATCATTATCTTTATATACTGCTATCTCATGAGTTGTGACACATCAGTGTACAAGATGTAACATTAAAGTTCTTAAGTTAACTTTAACAGATTGGAATAATTTATAAATACACCTTTTCAAACTGCCTTTTTATGTCTTGTGTATAAGTAAATTAATATTTTTCTTGTAAAGACAGCCATGTATTGACTTTTTAAGTTTTAGGATTAAAATTTACTTTTTTATGATATTTTATGATTCAAGCATTTTACTGTTTTAGACTTTCTCGGCTCTGGACCGGCAACCTATGAATTTGTAAGTATTGTTTAATATAACTTTCTTTTTTTCATTGTGTACTTTGAAATATTTTCCAATTTAGTATTCCAGATTTTCTCTGCTTTTTGATGTGAAAAGTATGTTACTAAGGAGAACTTGAATTGAAGACAAGTCTTGTACAACATTTTATTTTAAGGTCACTTTCAATTTGACATGTTCACCAATCTAGAGCTTTTAATTTTATTCTCAAAACAAAATTACTTAACAATTCATTGTAGTGTCATGTGCACTCTAAAGCTTCGGTTTTTTCAATTGCTTTTGTATTTTTCATTTAAGAAGTATTTAATTTTGCAGATGTCAAAACAAAGGAAGAAAGAGCAGTTTATCATCTATAAAAAGTAAGGTCAAATCTTTTGTGAAGTCAGTTTTACATTTTATTTTTTCTTGCTTTGAGCAGATAATTTTATTTAAAAGTTAAAAATAAATTCTTATTTTGAAGTATTTTTTATTTTGTCATTTTTGGAAAAAAAATTGACTGATATATTTGACCACTTTTTTTTTTTTAAACCCTTTGAAGCAATAAGTGAGCTGGGGGTTGCAAATTATTGATAGGATATTTTTTTTTATTTTAAATGCTATTCAAAGCAAATGTGAACCTACTGCTGGCAGAATCTTTGCCTATTTTTCAGAATTTAAATGTTTAATGTTTTAAAAGGTTTTAATGTCATTGTAAAATAAAACTTAGGCATGCTTTTACTTTTAAGTAACATTCTAGGTATAAAGAATGTTGGCACTACAAGTATTAAATATCTAGATAGTAGTATAGGAATTTATTTTTTATTTGAATTCAGAACTTTACTGCATGAAGTCTTTAAATGCAAAATTCTCACCATTTTGATTCCAATGTCAGTATGAAAACTGAGAAGAATAGATATAAAAATTTAGGAAAATTATGAAATTCTTGTTTACTTTCCTGCATTTTCAGTCATTTGATCAGTGTATGTATTTATTACTCCACCTTCAAAATATGTTCATCTGGAAGAGTCAAAATAAGTAGAATTAAAACTTAAGAAATCAATTAACAAGGCTAATGGCAAAGATTTCTGCTGTTCCTCAAACATTTGCTCTAATTGTTCTGTAAATATGTGGTGTATACAGCACAACATATAAATAATTAAGACTAGAAGAGAAACGCCCTTATATATATATATATATATATATATATATATATACACACACACACACTATGAATGGTAAATGCTAATTAAGCTTCATTGTTAAAGTATTGCAACTGGCCTGCCACTGTGGCTTATAGGAAAGAATGAAGGCAAGTGCTAGATTTTTTCTGCTTTTTTTTTTTTTTGTGTGTGTAATGACTGTAATTAGCAGTTGAAACTTTTTTCTTCCTTGGGCAGGCTCCTTTCCTCTCTTTGGTTAATTCATACTTAATTAAAAGTTGCTTTATTCTCTAAGTTAGTACAATTCCATTAAAATGCTCTGCCATTTTTGCTGTTTCAAACAACTAATATACATACAGAAATTTGCTCTTTATAGATTATGGTAGAAACTGTATCAAGAAAATTCATGGAATCTTAAAAATGAATTATGATATAAATTGCATGACAAGTACAATCTTTAAATAGATCTTAATTTATTCCTTTGTAAGAATAAAATGAAAAATTGCCACTATCAGATTTCTTGATGAATTTTCACTGACTCCTTATACTTTAAAGAAAATGATTTGACTTCAATGGCATAGTAAAAAGCTTTTATTGTGAGTCATAAATGAAGAATGGATTTAGAGAGCTGAAGCTCTTACAACCCTTAATAACATTGCTTATTATTTTGAAGTTGGATAATTAATTTTACAGAGAAGTTGTGATCTCATGAGGGGTTTGCTAATATACTTGTCATTTATTTTATTGCTACTTATCAGTGTTAAATTTGTACTTGTGTTTGATTTTGAGAAATGATCTTAATGCACAGGATCTTAAGAGATGGTCTTGGTGGGCTTACAAATTACTGTTATCTGCAGGAGAAGTAACAGAAAATTGATTTGAAAGATTAACTTTTATATCATTTTGAACAAATGGCTGATTTTGTTTTTTTTTACATACAGACAGCAATAATTGATACTACTTATCCAATTAATATATTAAAGATGGGTGCACAAACAAAGTGGAAGTCTTTCATAAAATGTTTCTCCCCATGATATCCAAGCCATTTCTGTAAATATTTTCATGGTAATTTTTCTGATAAGCTTTCATCTTTGGTACCTTGACTTCACGAATCTAAGCCTAGTGCTAGATTGGCAGTTAGGTCTCATAATTTCACTGTTGAATTTGTTAGTTGTAACCTTAAGTTGTGTGCTAATAGTTTCTTTTCCCTGCACTTCTGGCTGGATTGAAAATAGAATTTTTTTCTTTTTTAATCTAGGGGCTGCTGTTAATCAGTTTACTAAATGACAATAAGTCATATTGAAGAGTAATTTCCCTACCCGCCCCACCTCAGTCTTATGAAGTAATTCAAGAAAATAGCTTTTTCATTCCCTTTTTTTTTTTTTTTTTTTTTTTTTTTTATTGTAATATCAAGAACTACATGTATTTTTCTGATTGTCTAAATCAGTTTCTTATCTATTTAATGATATAAGTAACCTATACTTGAAATTCTTATTTTATCCCCTATTAAAATATAGAATTTGGATATCTAGAACCTGGCATTTTTAACCCTACCATATTTTAAACTTTAAATTTGACCATTTTCTGTAGCACTTCTAGCATTTTTGTAGCACTTTTAGTTTCTTCCTAATACATCTAATTGCTTTTTCAATATAAAGTATTTTTTAGATTTTTATGACAAGTGAATTTTTCTTTCTTTTTTTTCTTTTTTTTTTTTTTTTTTAATTTTTTGCTAAAAACATTTGTCATACATGAATTCGATGTCTCAGAAAAGCTGTGCAAAGAATTGGTGTGTTTACTTATCCCAAGTAAATAATGAATCCCATTATATAGGTTTCCAGCGTTTTGCTCTTTGTGGCTTAACTTGCTTGCTTCTCAGCTTAAGACCAAGGAGATTTGTTTCAATTTGAAATTTTGTTTTCAATCCTTAAAAAAAAAAAAAATATGTGGCAAATTGGTAAATGGCCATGTAACACTCTATCATATAGACAATGGACTCTAGATCAGAAATAATTTCAGAACATATCACTTTTACAGAAATGTATTTTTTCTTTTTACTTAAGTAACTTCCAGTGTTGCATAAAGTGATAAGACTGTTTGATTTTTATAAATCATTTTTTTTTTTTTTACTTTCAAAGAGAACAAATTGAAAAGTGTTCAGTATAATTATTTTAGTAAGAAACCAGTTTGTTTTCACTACTATTTGCTGTAAATGTTGTTTTTATTTATTTTATAATAGGTAATGATTCTAAAAAGCACCAGAAACCTTGCAAGAAATGTGGCAAATCAGGTATTTTAAACTTTCCTGCTAATGTTCCAAATTTTACACTTTTATATTCAGTAAATGTTAGACTAGATTTGTATCAAAATGTACGCTTTTTTTTATTTTTGCAGGTAACAAACGTTGTTCCCAATGTAAGACTCCTTACTGCAGTATTAATTGTCAGCAACTGGATTGGTTTGATAATCATCATGAAGAATGTATAAATATCTAGTAGGTGGTGGTGTTTTTATTTCCTCTCTCCACTCAGATGAAACAAAATAGCAGTTTTTTTTTTGTTTTTTTTTTTACAATTTTTCCTTGTCATTTAAACAATATTTTAGTTCATCCATAAATGAATTATATATCCTAACAATGAGAAATATTTTAAATGTATACTTGAAATTTGTTCTATAAATTACAAACCTTTTAATGTATTTCCTATAAATGTTTTATGCTTGTTTCAACTGGATATGCTAACTTTAATCTATGCACTGTTTGTTGTGAATCATATAAAAAAATGTTCATAGTGTTTTTTGTTAATTCGTGCAAAATTTGACGTTAAAAATGTTTATGGAAATGTTCAATTAATACTTAGATGCTTGGATTTCTACAAGCTAGTTATTGAAAGAAACCACATAAAGAAGGCTTTTTATTTTTGTATTTGAATTCTTTTTATGAAAGTAATATACGAGAATAATGAGAGGTTCTTTTTGTATTTTTTAATTTTATCTTTTAAAAAATTCTCTTGCAGTTTGCAGAATGCAACACTTGAAGAGTTAGCCGAAAGATTTGATATCAACTTAAATGATGAAACTTTCTCGGGTTCCTATTCTGATAAACCACTTGTAAGTTTTGACAGTGCTTTTTTAATATTATGAAATCCCCTGTATATCATCACCAAGAAAATAATTCTGAGAAATTCCTCAAACTGGTCTTGAGTTATGGTTATTTAGGCATATATCACCAGCATAAATATAGTATATTTCATGTTTTTACAGTATTTTACATATAAAAAAAAAAAGTACTGTTCTAAAGAAAAATTAGTTGTAAGTCGAGTAATTTTTCTTCATTTGCCTTGTATATCTCCTTTCTTAAAAGTAGATCCATTGATATTTGTTTTGAACCTTGAAGATTTAGCATGAAAAGCTTTAAACTGGCTTCTGATATACCTAAATATGACTTTTCTTTTTCCTTTGGGGTCCTTTTTATTCATTAAAATATCAAATATTCTTGTCCTGAAGTTTCATATGAAAGTATTTAAGTTAGCTGCTTTTTTGGTGCGATTTATAGAAAATAACTTTTTAATAGGCTGTATTTGATTAAAATATAATTATGGAAGAACATGATTTTTTTTTTCCTAAAGTAATCTGTTAATATAGATTCTAGAAAATGTGAATCTAATCACATTTATTCAGTTATAGTCAGCATATTATTTGTTTTTAATTTATATTTCAATTGTTTTAATTTTAATTCTTACATTTTGTTTTTGCATTTATTTTAGAAGTATGAGAATACTTTGTCCGTAGATAGTGACCATACCTCAAGCTCTTCTGTTAAGAAGGCGCAATCTAAAAAAAATAAAAACTCAAAAAATGGTAAAATGGAGAAGGTGTCTCCAACCAAGAAGAATAATCCAAAATCACCATCACAGAGAAAAATATGCTTAACACTTGACAAAGATATTCCAAAAACTATTTATGATGTGCATAAGAGATACCTGCCACTGGTTCAAGCTCCTGTTAAAAACCGGGGAAGTTCTTCAAGTAATATAAATCAAAGATTAGTTTACAAGGATGAAAAGACTGTTTCAACATCAGCTATCCAAAAGAAACCTGGTGATGAGTCCAATGCTGCTAAAAAAGCAACAAAAATATTTTCGAAAGTACAATTGCCACTTCACGAATCTTGTCAGGTAAGTTTTTCACACTTCATCTCCATTAACATATGACCTATGACAGCTTAACATTAGAATCTGTTTTGATTCCTGTGTTGATGTGAACAAAAACTGGGAATGGTCCAGTGATTGCTAAACAAAGGAATGAAAGGTGAAATATCACCAGAAAAAAGAAAACCTGAATCCTGTCTTCAATATACTGGGTTCTTTATTCATGAATTCTTTGACATTGTCTGGTGTGGTTGCTTAGGTAAGTGATACTTGGGACATCTTCACTGTAACTTGTCATCTCTCATAAATGAACAAGATCTCCCCTTCAACCAGCTAGAACTCCAACTGCTCCCACTTGCCCATTTGTGACTGCCACTCTCACTGATTCCCTTTAAATTTCAAAAGAGCACTAATTGACTGGCCATCACTCTGCCTGTGTCTTCATCTCAACAGATTGCTCATGAGTGGCTATTCTAGGTTACAGCTTAACTATAAACCCACAACTGGAATTTCCTATATTCTGGACAGATGGTTTTATTTATTTATTAATTTCCTTTTCTGCACAGTCAGTGATTTCTTTGAAGCTCTGACATTTTGATTTTATTGTTGGTTTTCCTAACAACATGGCTTGTTTAAAATACATTAAGTTGTATTTTAAGTTTCTTTTTATTTGACCATTTTTTTCTCATCTTTTTCTTTTTTTTTAGGTCTTGGTGACTAATGTTATTAGTTACAAAGATATACATGTTCAACTAATAGAAGAGGCTAATTTCAAATTGACAACATATTTGATCACTGAGTTAGCCAAAGTGAGTAAAACTTAAAATTTATTTATTAATATCTATTATGCAAGATGGTTGTCTTTCTAATGCTTTTTATTACCTGCATTAATTGCACTCCAAGCAAGTTGATAAAACCACTAAGTAGTTATTGAGTGTGAAAGAATCTGAGATAAACATTACAGTGAGAGTCCAATAAAAGAACAGAAATTAAGGAGACAGAAGATGACTGACATTGCATTTAAATTTTTGAAAATAAGAGTTGACTGAAAAGTGAAAAATGTGAGGGAAGAAACAGCATGGAACTTGGGGTTACATCAGGCAATTTCAACTGTAAAATGAGACCCTATTTGGTAATATACTTAAATTTGTAAAGTTGGGGTACCAAAAAGGAAAGCTCATTAGAATTATACCATGAAATTATTTCTAGAAAAGGCATGGGGAAAGTGATGGTAGCTGAGGTGCCAGGTTGGGACCAATAACATTGAAAATTCTTTGTATTTTATCAAGAATCTCCTACATACCAAGATGGGGTAGTAATATTCAATGCATAGGCAAATGGTAGCCTGAAGACAGATTCTGGCAAGAAAAATGGTCTAGCATGAAACAGGGAACCAACTTTCTTAGCAGCAGACCTAGCAATTAATTCAATATAGTTTTTCCACTTCATGTCAGAAGCCTGTCAAGAACATTATTCTGAAAAGGTGCAATTGGTCACTCTGGAGGTTAGTATCAACCATGCTGATGGAAGGCAAAAAGGGTTCTCTCAGACAATTAAGAGAGCAGTTTCATTTTGGAGGTGTTAAAATTAACATGTCATTTCTTGCTCCACTTGACATAGGGAAAGTCGTTTTTAAGATTAACTGTCAATTTGACTTTATTGAACTAATCACTTACAATTAAGACTGGAGTAAATGGTTGTAATTTACATAAGTAGCGATTTGAGAGCTGATGGTATCGGGAAGGCCATTAATAAAAAGTAGGTCCATAGATAGACCTGCATTAATGTAACTTCATCTAGTAGACAATGTACTTATTGTCTAATATTAAATGATGGTATTATTTTCTTCAAAAACTTGTATATGTATAAATGACAGATCTTTGCAAACTACATTCTTAAATATTTTAAGCTATGATCATGTACTGAAATAAATTGTCTATAAATTAAGCATTTTAGATTTGACATGGAAACATTCTAGATGTCATTTAAATGATTTAATGCAATATTTGAAAAATTTTCTTTTGTAGGTTTATGGAGATAATGGCAAAAAAAATCCTTGTGTTTCTTTTCCTGAAGTAGGTGAAATATATGCTAGCTGCTATTCTGCTGATAATTTGTGGTATCGTGCTCAAATAGTTAGCATAAATGGTCCTGATATTACAGTTAAATATATTGATTATGGTAATACTGAGATTACGTCTTGTGACATGATGAGAGATCTAGTACCAGAGTTAAAAGAAATTCCACAACAGGTAAATATTAAGTATTGACCTACTTTTATTCTTGGCAATTTTTTAATTGCTAATCTATATAAATTTCTTTATTTTCTGTTTATATGGCATTTTTAATAGATACATTTTATTTAATTAAAAACTGTTTTTTAAAATTAACAATATTACAGTTACTGGCCTGAATGTGAGAAATTTTGTAGAAAATGTGTAATTCTGTTTTATTAAAAAAAAAAAAAAAGCATTTTAATATAAGGAGTATAAAAATAAAATTAGTATAAATGGTACACACACACTATATATATATATATATATATATATATATATATATATATATATATATATAATCTGATATTGTGCAAATTTGCAAAGTCATTTTGACTATTTTTCAAATGTTCCATTTATTACATGACTAGAACTGTAACATAAGATAAGTTAATTATTTATGTATGAAGTTGGATTTCAACTTAGGATCAATGTTGTATCTGTGGTCTCTGAAAATCCAAAAAATCTATTTGTATTTTTATGTATTGTGGAGATACAGAACACTCTGAATTGATTTCTGAGCAACTCTTTAATAAGAGTAAACAATACAGTTCTTTCATTAATATCTATACCTACGTACCTCCACGAAATCGCTAAAAAAAGAGCATAGCTTGCTGAAAAAGATGCCAACCTTGCTGAAAACAAAATTTTATTGTCTAAATGCTTATGTTATTATTAAGAGGAAAGACCAAAGTTTTTTTTAATTATTTTTAAAATTTTTTCCTTTTTAGAACATTCTAAATTTTGATTAAAAAAAACCTTGTTTCTATTTGTATCAGCGGAACTAGTAAATAACATAGACAATTTTTAGCACGTTTTTTTGGTATGACACACATTAATTTGAAAAATCGTGCAAAAATAGAAATAATTGTCGGATGTTAATGAAACTTTCAGGAACTATTCACAGATGATCGAAATTATTATAAATATGTTTTTTTTTTTTTTTTTTTATTAAAGTCATGGTAGAAATATTTTTTTAAAATATCTATTATCTCTATCGATTTTTTTTTTTTAGCGCGTTGTAAATTGTATCATTTTGACTAATCAGAAGATCCACAGTAATTAAGAAATGTAATTTTGTGCTGTAATTATAAAGTAGGGAAGACCAACCAGAATATAATCGAGTTGTGTTATTTGAGTTAAGCATTGTTCTCCGCTGTTAAGGCCTTTACTTTTGCGAAACACGTGTGGAGAAGTTAATTTGATTTTTCAATTTCAACTGAGAAGGGTACCTACAAGTATCGGTATCATCTTATGAAAATTATATGATCTTATTTTTATATTAATCTCAGTTATGACATTTTTCCATAAATGAAATATCAAAATTAATAATAAAATGAATGCAAATACAAATAACAGTAAAATGTAATAAATGTACATAAAATTATAGTATTTTATGTACAGTTCTGATAAAATTTCATAAGAAAGGTACCTATAAATTAATTAGATACATTTCTTAGGAAATATGAAATTTAATGTCACTCTTAAGTCTTATTTTAATTTCTTTATAATATATTTTCCATAAAGCATCATAAACGTAAAGGTGAAAGCTAAGTACAAAAAAAAAAATTAGACTGCTGAAAGTTTTCGTTAAAAATAACGAGGTAAATAATTTGTTCACGTAAATGTAAATTATTTCACTTTTCTCCTTCTGTAGAACAAATTAGCCTCATGGAATTCGTAAATATGTCATTTATCACCTGTCAAGAGATGCAAAAGTTTGACCTGCTTTGTTTTATTTTCAAATTATATCTTTTTGGCACAAAAGCTAAGTTAAGTTTGGTTCCAAATATTTTAAATAAACATAATTTCTGATTTTCTTAAAATAAGTTTTGAAAAAATGATAATTGAAATTTAAAAGAATTTCAAAGTGAGATTTCCAGTTTTTTTTTTTAAATGGAAAAAAATGGTCAATTTTGCTGACTCAAAAAAAACTAGATTTTTAACGAAAATTTCAGATGTGTTAGGAACGATTAAAAAATGGAAAAAAATACCCCCAAAATACTTTGATCTTTCCACTTAATAATAACAAACATTTACACGATAAAATTTTTTTTTTCGTCAATTTTAGCGTCTTTTTCATCATGCTATACTTTTTTTTTTTTTTTTTTTTTTTTAGCGATCTCGTGGAGGTACCTATCTATACCAATGCATCTCATTTCTCTCTTGTTTCTCCTAATTAAGGCATTTGTTTTGTTTTTCTAAAATTACTTAATTTTTCGTTTCTCTCTTCCAACATCTAATAAAACCACTTTCATTTTATTCTCTTTATAAGGTAATTCTCTGTAGCTTTGTTTCATGCCTTACAAGAAAAATTCTTTTTACTTTGATTGCATGATGTCTTTTTTTTTTTTTTTTAAGGCTGTATGGTGTGCACTGGATATATCACCTTCAAAGACTTCTGATGATGATGATACTGATTTGCTTACCAAACAAGAATTTAAATATGATCAACCTTATAGATTAATGGTGATTCAAACTGGGGAACCATATCTAGTTAAGCTGTATGATGATAAAGGTAGAAAGGCTTAATTTATATCCATAATGATCTTAAAAAATGTTAATTAGAATATTTTAAGTTTTCTTAATCTAATTTGTATATATTTCCAGATCAGTTATTTAACAATTGTTAAAGTTTATTCAATATTTTTTTTCTCTCTGAAAAAAAATTGACATAATAATCATTGTTGAAAGCTCTCTACTATATTGTAATATGAAAAAATGTTTTAATATTTGGATAGAATGAATATTGAAATTTGAAATTAATTTTAATTTTCATTAATTATTAAAATAATTGTGAATTTTTGATATTAAAATTTGCAAGCTTTTTTGGTATAGATGCAAAATTTTCATAACTTTCCTATTTTCTTTGAGGATTTATTTCTCATTCAGAATTTTGAATTTTTTTTAGATGCTGATGTTGGAAAGAAATTGGCAAATCTGATTGCATCTAAAAAGAGTCAGGGTCATTCTTCTGATGGTTATACCAGTGGTGTTGACATTCAACAAATGTATGTAAAAAGATCTTCAATATCAATCTGATTATCATACATGAGCAGAAATAGAATCATAAAATGTTTAAATTTTCATGTTCATACCTATGGACATCATACATTATGGACTTCTTGATAATGAGATATTGGAGAATAAATCTAGGTGTTGTGTGTGAATATTTGTAAAAAAATCTTCTTTTCAAGCTAACTTTTACATCAGAATTAAAAAAACAAAAAACAAAAAAAAAACACAAATTTCCTTAATTTTCATTCGGTTGAATTTTAGGTTTTTAAAATTGTAAATTAAGACTATGTTGCAAAATCTGTCTAGTTTTAAAATGGCACAAAGGCATATACATTTCTAAAAATGTACACAGATTTTTAAATGAACATAACTGTTAAATAATTTTGAAGCAAAAGATGACCAGATTTTAAAAATTTTTTTTCTTTTTTTTTTTTTTTTTTTTTTTTTGTTTTTAAATGAAAAATAAATTTCAAATTTCTTTTTCCATCTACATATTGAAAGAAAATTATAATTTGAAATTCAAGTATTGCATATTATGCTATTGTTATACTGTGTGTGTGTGTGTGTTTTTATGAAATCCAGGAGCTTCCAGGATCTCATCAAAAATCAAATTTCTTATTTTCCACCCTGTGAATAAAGGAGGTGTTCTAAATAATAAAAAAAAAAAAACAATGTAACTGATTTTTACTAAAATATTTTAGATGGCCCACTTAGATTAGCTATAGTTACTCAAAGAAAACTGAAAATTAATTCTACTTCTTCTGTAGTTTACTAATGTGTTAAGGAGTGAGTTTAAATATTTGTTTAAAAGATCTCTGTATGTACACATGTATATAATAATAAATCTTTTCTCTTTACAGTACATCTGATGCAATCATGGTGGCTGACATAAAAAACAAAGCTGAACATTTAAAACCTGGGAACAAATACAACATTTTGCCATTCAATGTCATTTCTCCTGATGATTTTATGGTTCAAGTGGTAACTCTGGACAAAGATTTTTCTCAATTCAATCAGAAACTTCAAAGTTGTGCTCATTCCTCTCCGCTAGTATCTCAAAAGTAAGTCAGTGTGTTGGTCCTCTTTTGGTTTAATGCATATCTATCAACTCAACATGAAATAACTTAAGAAGATTAATGTTATGAAGACATGTTCAGAAACAAATGTGTTCATTTCACTGTACCTATTTATCTAATCTTTCAATTTGATCTTTTCATTCTTACCGTTTACTGTTATCAGCAGTTGTCACTTTTCTGTTACTCTCTGTACTCATTTTGATTCAGTAGAAGTTGACATTTTTATATTTGTAGTCCTGAAAAAACCGAATCCTGTAAAAAGTCTGGAATTCATGCTTGTGTTTAATTTGTTTATTAAATAAGATAAAGAACAAATAGCAAACCTTTATCAATCTTACATGTTATACTTTTATTAAAGCTTCATCAGAGACTTAGATATAGAGAAAAAAATTCTGGTATTTGACTTTTGTGTTGTCTGATTTTCATTGGTCAATCATGTATCACGTGCATTGGACTCTTAAACCAAATGTTAGTATAATTTCTGGTGTTTATGAATTTAAGGAAAGCGGATGCAACATAATTGTCGAAAACAAGGTTATGGTCAGTTTAGATATCCAATTGCTATACAGAAATATACCAGTTATAAAATGCCTCAACATATCGATCGCTCTGTCGGCTGGGGCTTTAGAAATACACCGACTAACCCCCTCCTCCCCCACAATTTTACTGCGGCTGTCAAGCTGTGATGCTTGGGGATGGGATCTTGGTAATTGAGGGTTTCAGGAGGAAGGGTGGATTACCGTATTTTCTGGCTTACAAGACACTGCAGCTTGGAAGACACACCCTGATATAGGAAAGAAATTTCTAAGAAGAAAAAAAAAGTCATTCCCATACAACAACACATTCATCATGCATCCCTCACATACTGGTGCCATGTATTGTTTACATTAATCACTTGTCTGATTTTGTTTGTTTGGAAATGACATACTAGTCAAGAGCAGAAAGGCTCCCACCGCTGCTCAGCTCCATGAAGGCTTATAGTCTTGGAAATACATGTAACAGCTAAGTACTGAGGTTACATGATATAAAAGGTTGAATTAGATGGCTAACATTATAGTGTAGTGACTTAACATACAAATCCACATCTCTATCAGTCAAGCCAATTAGGTGATTGTTCAAGCTTACTTGAGCCTGGGCATTGCATCCTTCTTGGAAATGCACACACATTTTTTAGGAAAAAAAATGTGCATTTTGTAAGCAGGAAAATCCAATAACTCCTGAAATCTCAACACATCACTTAGGCCTTTACCTCAATCTGATTAACCGGCTGGTCACACTAAACCCTGATTCAGCTTCTTACAAACTCTGGAAGTGCTGAATCACAAACTCTGGAAGTGCTGAATCAGAAGGCGGGGGCTGTAGGTCAATCATGCTAAGAAGAGACGATTGCTCTAAACTATACCTGAACAAGTAGTTAACTTGGGAACTAAGACTTAGGATTGTTAAACAATTATTGACTCATTGTAATGTGGGTATATTGATTGTATAGCATTGATCTACCAAGGTGAATGGGCTTCCACCTTGGAATTTCCACTTGTGGGGAGTACAGCTAATGAAGCATAATTTCATTATATGGAAACGAAGAAAAACCCAAGCTAAAAGACACCACATGGAGTCAGATCCCAATCCAGAACAGCCTGAAGTACTCTTTTCTAGATTTATTATACTTGAATCTAGAGAGATCTCACTAACCAAATTATCACTGTTTCTGATACAGAAGGTCATATCCTCAATGGTTAATCCAAAATCGGTAAAAAAAATTTTTAAAAATGGAACTGTCCTGATAGAAATATCAAATAAAAAAAAAAAATATGCAAGCACCCTATTAAAGACTAAAAAAATTCATAACATCTGTATAAAAGCATACTCACATGGGAGATTGAATTCCTCTAGAGGTGTGATTCATAGTGGAGATCCATAGAAGAAATAAAAGCTAAGTTAAAAAAACAAAATATAACTGATGACAAAAGGATAACAATTAAAAAAAAAAACAAAAAAAAAACAAAATCAAATAATACTAACACATGTATATTATCTTTCAATACTTCAACACCACCAACTGAAATTAAAATTGGATATTTAATAGCCAAAGTAGAAAAATATATTCTAAATCTGAGAAGATGCCAGAAATGCCAAAAATATGGGCATCTCAAGGAGTATTGTACAAGAGAACAAACTTGTGCCAAATGTGGGGAAATAGAACCAAACTGATGATACAACATGTAAAAATGAACCAAAATGTATCAACTGCAATCGAGATCACAGAACTGATTCTAAAGAGTATAAGACCTGGGGAAAATAAAAACAAATAAGAACGAAAATCACTCAAAATATTACATTCCGAGAGGTTAGAAAACTTATAGAATCCTCCTTATGCAAAAATCACCAAAACACTGCTAAATATAAATGAAAATGTAGCAAATGACCTGACAAAAAACAAAAACAAAATTGAAACTCAATAAATGAATTGTAAAACCTCATTAAAGCCTTAAAAATCAGTATAACAAATATAGAAATAGCTCTCTCTCTCTCTCTCTCTCTCTACCAAATTAATCCATAACTCACAAAAGGAAAATGAAAGACAAATCAGTAAGAAAAAAACATTGATCTGTATCAAAGATGTGAGAAAAAGGCAAAACAACAACAAAAATGTAAAAAAATTGAACAAATGAAAATTGACATCATAAACTTAACAAAATAATCTTATAATAGAAAGGAAATAAGATTAAATACTCAATAAGGGGACATGAAAATCCAGTAAAAGTCAGAATATATATATATATATATATATATATATATATATATATATATATATATATATATATACATGCACATAACCCTGGTACACAAAATTCTTCAATGGAATTGGTGTGGGCTAAAAACTAATTTTAATGAACTTTTAATACTGCTAACAGACTTGTGTCCAGATGTTGTTTGTTTTCAAGAGACCTTTTTAAAACAAGAAGATAAAATAAATATTAAAAATTATCAGGTATATAGCCATATATATGGAGCAGGACAAAAGGCCTGTGGAGGAACTTCAATCATCATTAGAAACATCTCTGAGCCAAATTAATATAACGACAAACTTTTGAGCAATTGCATTTAGAGCCAGCCTGCATAAAACTATGAACATATGTTCTGTATATATACCACCAAAAGATCCCATAAACGAAGATGAGCTTCAGTGTTTGATAGACCGAGTACCCATGCTTTTTATTTTATTAAGAGACTTTAATTGTCACAACACTGCATGGGGAAATAAAGACACAGATCTTAAGGGAAAAATTGTGGAGAAACTTATAACTGAAAATGACTTGCAAGCCATAAGATTACGAAATACGTCACTACAAAAATTTTAACAAAGAACCTACAATGGCAAACTTAAACAATTACAAGTTATATAGAGCAATGAAAGAAGCCAAAAAAGAATGTTGGCAAAAATGTCAGCAAGCTAAGCTCCTCCTCAAAAACAAAATGATTATGGGAAATGGTGAGGAAAATAGCTGGGAAATACCAAATGACACCAATTAAGCATCTTTACAAAAAAACTATTATGACCAACAAAAAGGACATAGCAGGTATATTAGCTGAAAGTATTTAAAAAAAAAAAAAAAAACTCAAGTGAGTGAAAAATAAAAATACTTAGTCTTAAAACAAAATACAGAAAAATACAATTTTACATCTAACAAAGCTACAACAACCCACTGAGTTTAGCAAAATTGAAATCAACCATAAAAAGATGCCATAACAGCAGTTGGACCCGATGAAGTCCACTAAGAGTTTCTAAGACCATCCTTAGAATTTCTTTTAAAAATATCCAATAATATATGGATAAACAGAAGTTTCCCCAGATATTTGGAGACAAACTACTATAATACCAGTCCCAAAACCTGGAAAAGACAACTCTGACCCAGAAAACTACACACTTATTTCACAATTGTGGAAGAGTATAAATCTGGAAAAATTAGACTTCAAATGATGTTGGATGACTCCAAGGATAAAGCAATAAAAGCACTAAAGCCTACATTAAAAACAGGGAGAAAGTGGAAGGTCAGAGAGACGATAACAAGTGCTAAAGACAATCTAGCTTTCAATGAAGTCATCGGATACACTCAAGCAGGGAAACAAGGGTTAGGGCTAAATGAAAGGCAATGGTGGTCGAAAACTTCTGGTAAAGATCGCCGTGACATGGTCATCCAAAATGTGATGAAAGAAGATAAAAAAAAAAGACTTGTAAAAGGAGTGTAACAATCCCAAAAAGGCCAATGAACAAACTGGGAGGAGGCTCTGCAGAAATCTATTACGTGGAAGGACATTTGGCAGATGGTTCCACTTAGGTTGAGCTATTTAATACGTTCCACGTATGACCTGCTACCATCTAAGAACAATCTTGTTAAATGGAAGAAAGAGTGATCCCACTTGTCCCCTGTGTAAGGAAAAGCCACAAACATTAGAACATGTTCTTAGTTCCTGTAAAACAGCCCTTGTCAATGGAAGATATACATGGAGGCACAATAGTGTTTTAGATGAGCTGGTCAAAATTATAAAGAAATATATGAAGTCTGAGTCATCTAATTCAGCCCATGAATTTGTTGCAGAAGGAAAAAGATATGTCAGTTCTAAGCAAACAAGCAAATGTCATGCTATACCTGGAAAAAATCTCCTTAGTTCTGGTGTCATCTTGGAGGTATCTGCAGACCTTCCTGGTTGGCGTAATGATTACCCCAAAATAATATCAAGTAAAGGTCTGCGACCAGATATTGTTCTTCTGTCAAGGGTGAACTATAAAATCATCCTGGTTGAATTAACAGTACCATATGAATGCCGGATGGAACAAAGCTACGATTATAAAACTAATAAATATGAAAATCTAAAATCAGAGCTAATAAAGAAGGGGTATAATGCAATTGTTAGAGCAGTGGAAATTGGAGCAAGGGGTTTCGTTTCAGGCACTCTGTACCAATTTCTGGGCCAAATTGGAA